AGGAACACAATCCTCCCGGGAGCAAACTAACACCTGACTAACAGTACAATTCCCAGCAAGTCTGAACGCTAGATTTGTAAATGCCCAGCAAGTTACCCATAATTCATTTCAATTAATTAATACGTTTACATTCGAGTCTATAATGAAACAAAAAGAAAAGAATGTATATGGACACGACCGTCTGGACAGAAACGAAGTTATTCGCCGCATTGTTAATGCGAGAAAATATTATAATCACCGCATTCCACTGAACTGAACTTGCCATAACTCAACTACGTATATCGCGAATTTCCTAGTTATAGTTACAGTTAGACATCTTGGAATACCAATATAAATAAATAAGGAATTGCGTTTATTGCAAAACGACGAATTATTAACGAGAAGTTAATGTTTCACGTTATTTTATTACAATAAATCTCGCAAATAAATAGATAGATGATATGGCGAATGAGTATATATCTCGTTTTTTAGAAGAATTGATTTGCTGATGCTATTAGATACTTTGATATTTTTCAACGATTTTAAGATTTTGAAAATCCACTATAGTCAAACCTTTTTTACCTTAGGAAGCTATGGAGACATATTATGCCAGCACCAACTTGTCATCATATATGTAGTAGATATAGAAAAATAATAGCGAAAAATGGAGTTCTATAACAAGTTTTTTTTTCAATCAATCAACTTTATTATTCCCAAGAAACAACATTTGTTTATAGCAGGGAACAGGGTGAATATTTAAATATATTTGATAAAATAAAGAAAACAGTAAAATAAGACTCACACTCAAGAAGAATTTTTTTTTTAAGTTCATCTGGAAATGATTCTTAATTGAGGTAGGTTAGGTACCCAAAGGAAAACTATAATAATTGTACGAGAAAACTATAAAAATGAGATAAGATGTCAATATTACAGGAGTAGATGTTTCTTGAATTCGTTTGAACAATTCTCAATCCTATTAATCTGCTTCAAGTTATTTGGTAGTGAATTGTATTATATCGTTCCATTGTGATAAATGGATTTTTTACCAATATCTGATTCAATTTTTTTGACAGAAAAATGATCTGCTTGTCTATTTGTATGGTTTTGGTGACTTAACTATTAATTTGGAAAATCAAATTTGCTTTTGACAATATTCAACTGAATGAATGCATCATAATTTGAAATATAGTTTATCTATATCTAATAAATCTCTTCTTCTGTAAAAGGTTCTTAGTAGGTTCCAAATAATTTAGTCGATATATACATTTGATAATTTTATTTTGAAGAGTTATGAGAGGCTTTATAATTGATGGTTAATTATTTTTAGTATGTATCTCAAAATTCATACAGTTGTCGAAGTACATATTATGGAAGAGAAAATGATAATCTAAATCCGAGGCGGCAGGCAATAAAGTTCAAGAGGGCTAAATTGGGGACGAACTCAAAAGTGTATCACTCTGGGTCTCACTGTAGGTGTTCAAAAACGCTTATAATAGTCCCAATCGTCGAGTTTTTGAAGTGTAACAGGTGTACCAAATACCAGTTCATTATTTTGAAAATGGTAGAACACTTGAAAACACAGAAAAATTTAAACTTAGACTAGTTAGACTTACATTTGAAACGAAGCTCTTACGCATAATATAGAACTTTCGTAAACTACTGAATACATTTTCAGCTACATTATCCAATTCTGATGAGGAATCTCCTGAAACAGGACAATTTTTAATCTCGATTTGCCACTTTGATAAGGCAGAATTAAATAAACAGGGTGATCCACATTTGAGTAATGACGTCCGCAATTTTTTTTTTAATTTGTTCCATGGAATTGTTGAATTCGAAAGCATGACAACCAATATTGTAATCAAATGGTTTGGTGTTTATGTAATTTTTTCTCAAACTTGCTAGGTCAGGAAAGTTTTTAATCTGTGGAAATGTCGTGATTTAGTCGTCGAGTGGAGAAATTGATCTTACCTAATTACACTAAAGCATTCTTTCAAGTGGAAGTAAACTTGAAATTTATGATTTGATTTTTATTGCCTTCAGGAAATTGAATTTTCAGGTGAATAAAACATACTGAATTTTAACCTGGTGATCAATTTAATGGCATTTGACAAACAAAAAATTTTCATCTGCTGCGCTTTTCTGATTTCTGTCGCCCCCACGCTACTAAACACCCCCACCCCCTCTTGGTACAAAGCTGTATACGCGCCTGAGATCACTTGATATCAGATAACCAATAAAACGAACATTCAGGACCACAAAATTAATTCAAAATCGATATAGCAAGGCAATCTGATCGAAATTTAAAAATTCACCGATTCTAAAATCGTGAACTCAAATAAATAAACATCTGGTTTTCCGGAATCCACACTGGAAACGGAAAGGTGCCTAACTTCTAAATTAGTTCGACTGTTTGTCAATTAAGTGCCTTCTGCGTTCCATTAAGCCCCTAAAATTGGGGTAAACGTGCGTGTATCTAGACCTAGACGCGTGCCCTTATTTCCCCTCTAGACATGTGTTTCCACGATTATAGAAACTCCGAATTCCGACTTTTAACTGATGACTTCCTATGCACTATGCAGATGCTCTCATTAGTCGGAATCGAGTTCAATGACAAGATCCAGTTGTAGGTATACGTATAAATAAAATTTTACGGATTATTTTTAAACGCTTTGGGTCCAAAATAGTATAGACGGTTCTCTCACCTTTGTTTATGAAAGTCTGAGCTGCTCAAAAATTCGAAATGCGAAGGTGAATGTACCTAATTTTGTACTTTGAAGATTGCCTTCGCCTATAAAACAGATTTATTTCGAAGACATTTCTTATAGACTTCTTGACTATCGTAACTATCGATAGCGGACATGTCGACTATCGAAACTATCGATAGTTTAACGCTATTGCCTTTTAATGCTAAGCAATACGCCATCTGATGGAAAAAAATCGCATCAATATCATGTGACCAGCAAGTGTGAATTGTTTGTTTACACACTCTGCATTGTGCATTTGTGTGATGATAATAGTTGTTTCATAAGTGATTATTGATTTGATAAGAGTGAAAATGACCAGCAGAGCAAATTGTTGTGCACCTGGATGCAACTCTGTGTATAAAACAACCCCAATTTGACTATTCATCATTTCCCAAATGAGGATCAGAGAGTTGAGCATATTGGAGAATCTGGAATGGCGACTTTGGTTGATAGAAAGAAACTGTGGGAGATCAAATTGAAAATAGGAAGAAGGGTTACCAAGTTCCAAACATTTTGTTGAGGAATATTTCATGACTCCTAGTGATTGTTCGTCATAGGTTATAACGAATGCAATCAGCAATCACACTTGGCGTCAAAATTCTTAGTTTTTTGACAGAATGACAGTGCATGAGAATGAAGGTTAAAAGGTCAATAAAAAAGCTGGACTAATACTAATTCAACGAATTCTTATCAAATGGTCACTGAGGTACTAGTATTGCCACTTGTTTTATACTTCTTTTGGTATATATAACAGGTGGCTATGCCAGCAGCAGATGCTTCTTCCCTATCAAAGTGTTTCCATATAAAGGAAAATCTTTCAGGTGCTTACTGGGATTCCATTCTGAAAAGGAAAGAAACCTAGAACAAGTAAACAGAGTAAAACCATAGAACAGCCAATAACCATACTTCTTCTTCATATTCTTCCTATCTTTTTCTTCTTCACTCTTGATTACTGAAACCTTCTCTGCTTCTAATTTATTTTCTCGATTGTTTACTTCTCTGGCTTCTTGCTATGTTAATTTCAGTTTTGTAACTATCGACACGATCGATAAACTATCGATAACATCACTACCGCTAATTTTTTAAAGATATCGAAGCGCTCAGAGACCAAAGAGGTTGATGCAAAATTAGGAAATCAGAACTCAACCAGAAACTTGCCTTTTTTTATATCTCTCTGCACCCAATCCTCATAACCAGGGTTGAAAAAATCCTGTTTTTTTGTGAACAATCATAAAAAATATTCCTTTGATTTCTCTTCTACTTCTATTGTTTTTTTCTTCTTATAAATAAGACAAGAAGCGTACATAATGATGTGTAAGTATAGTGAAAACAAACACACTGCAGGAAATAGAACACCAGTGTCAGCAAATTTTAGATAAGTCAAAATTTCGATAAAAAAGTAGGAATTTTTAGGTAAAAGTCAGAATTTCGACCTTGAATAAATGTTGAGAAAAAATCAGAAACTATATTAAAGTTGAAAATTACGTATTTTCAACTAATTTATCAACGAATCGTAAAATCATTATGTTGAATATGTTACGGCATTGTTACTAAAACGTATTCGTGTAACGTTATTATTGATAAAACGTTGAAAAATCAACGTGTAACGTATTTTTTACCCATTCAAAGTCATATAAACGTTGAATCATCTTACATGTGCTCATTGGGAAAAGCGAGGGGAAAAGTCTTCAATTCTGAAATAAAAGTTCAAACTTCGAGATAAAAATATAGATTTTGAGATAAAAGTCCAAATTTCGAGATAAATGTCAAAATTTCGACATGAAAGTCTGAGTTTCGAGATGGAAGTTCCAAACATAGAAATAGATTAGGAACGGAAGAAGCTGCAAAATTATTTTTATTTCTTCGACATAATAAGCCATTATTCAAAATCCAGAAGTTTTCTTCTCCTCAATTATAAAATCTCATCAGAAACGTTGATTTTATCGTGATCTAGATTGATAAAAATCATATGATTCAAATTGTTATTCAGGTAATAAATCATGTATTCACATCAATCTATTCAAATCCTTCAAAGTTTAAACCCCATTTATAACAATAGGTCACGTGATTCGGATCATGGAGATTGGTTACAATAGATCTCACATACTTCACATATTTTTCTCAGGCAATATTCAAGCAGCAGGAAAGAATAATGTAACCAATAAAGACCCCAAATATACCACGTGATCCATTATTGTTACCATAATGATGATTGGGGATATCATCACTAAAACCAAATGTAACCCAAACTAACATTGTTTTTTTTTGTTACAGCTTGGATTTTTCCTGTACTATTTCATAACAACCGGTGAACTGAATCCAACTGGACCGGTGCCGATCGATTCCATTTTCATATACAGACCGAACAAGAGATCCGAAATATGGAGATTTCTGCTTTACATGTTCCTACATGCCGGGTGAGTCATTCAGACAATCATTAAATCCATATTTTATAATTTCGAGTGTGTTTTAACGTTGTTCTTCGACACAAAGGCACCATCACCAGCACACAACAATTTTCCCGAATTGAGTCAACTAGGTTCTTCCTGCCATAAAATTTTCAACTTCCTGCGGACCATGATTGTTATTATTGAATAATGGGTCGAATTTAATCAAGCCTTTCATAATACTCACTTAGGCGTCAATGCGTGATTTCCTGAGATGAAATACAATTACACTCGAGATACATATATGCCACTTACCTTTAAAAAAATTCCCTGGTTGTTATGGATCAAATTCTACTACGAAATGTCATCATAATTTTCAACTTTCTTTCGACGATTGCTGCTGACACGAAGATTGCACTACTGACAATATTTTGTATGACTACTTCACGAACTTCACGGTATTCATCAGGATTTCATATACTTCTCTCGGTACTTCTTCAGCTTGTACAGATGACTTAATCATCGATAATCCACGAAATTTATCGATATTTCACCGAAGTCATCGGGACTCCACAGTGTTCATCGCTGCTTCTCGGACGTGATTAGTACTTCGTAGAGAGTTTACTGATACTACACGTCTATTGGTACTCCAGGGGCTTCATCAGCTTCTACACAAGACTTCGTTAGTTGATGTTTTCACATAATATAAACAACAACTATGAGTTTTCTTCACAAACACTACACGTTCGTGAAAGGGACATCACTGATACTTCAAGGACTTATTTAGCTTGTTCACCATACTCCACTGATACTTCAAGTACTTTTTCAGCTTGTATATCAGGCTTCACTTATGCTTCATGGACTTCTGTTAGCAGATGTGGAATTCAATAGAATAGTCGAGTGATTTTTGATCTCAATTGAATTATATTTTGACCCGACAAGAACATAAAGAACAATATATGAACCAAACATTATTTCCAACACTTCTACAGTTCATACACCAAACTTTACTGATACTTCAGGAACTTACGTAGGTACACGAAATTCACTGATACTTCAAGGACTTCTTTAGTCAGTACTCATACTTCAGGGACTTCTATAGGTTGTTCACCAGACTGCACTGATGCATCTATAACTTATTCGCCAGACTCGACTGACACTTAACAGAACATACTTCTCTAGCTGCTGGTACACCAGACTTCGCTATACTTGTACATACGCCAGACTTTAGATTCTTCAGAGACTTCTCCAACATGTTCAGTAATACTTCAGAGACTTCTTCATCTTACACCATACATCACGAACCACTGTAGCTTGTGCATATACCAGACTTTACTTATACTCCAGGGACTTCTATAGGTTATTCATCTAACTACACTGATACTTTAGGAACTTCTTTAGCTTGTTCACCATACGTCACTAACACTTTATAGTCTTTTCTAGCTGGTACACCAGCCTTCGCTGATACTTCACGAACTTTTTTATCTTGTACACAAGACTTTAGATTCTCCAGCGACCTCTTCAGCTTGTTCACCAGACTTCACTGATACTTTCGGGACTTCTTCAGCACAGACACTAGGCTTTTCTGATAATCCACGGACTTCTTTAGCTTGTACATCAGACTTCACTAACATTTCACAGCTTTCTTTAGCTTGTACTCTTGATACTACTGACACTTCAGGGATTTCTTTAGCTTCTTCACCTGACTTTACTGAAACTTCAAGGACTTCTCTAGCTGTTACACCAGACTTCGCTGATGTGCCGCGGACTTCTTTAGCTTGACTTTACTGAAACTCCAAAGACTTCTCTAGCTGGTACACCAGAATTCGCTAATGTACCTCTTCATCTTGTTCACCGGACTTCACAGATAATTCACGGAGTTCTCTGGCTTGTACAGTGTGTCCAGTTTTCGATGCTTTTGTGGGATATCTCAGTTATCTTTGGAGATAGAACCTTGCGGGTTTCGCGGTCGTGTGCCACTTTTTTGTGAAACTCAAGATGGCCTAATCAGATTTTGCATAACTGTTTCCGTTCATGAGATACAGGGCGATTTTGAAAATTTATACTTTTTGGACCCCCTCTATATCTACGAAGTTTCTCAGCAAAAATGTCAAATTGAAATTTCATCCCATATAAAAGTTCACGCAGAATCCAGTGGCGCACTCAAAATTTTTTTTCGGGGTATGGTTTTGGAGATACGACTCAAACTTATGATTTTTCAAATGGAACACCCTGTATTTTATAAGCTCACAAAATTCCTCATTTTTTTCTCTACAAAATGACTTATAATGTATGTATATGAGATTTTCAAAAATGCTCTGAAATCACTGAAACATTGAATTTTAATAGTGGGCTATGGATTTTTCTTATGAAAAAGTTCCAATTGAAGGAATATTCATTTTGATTTTTCCATAAAGAGGGCAAAAACAATACCAACACTAATTAACTAAAAAAACACAAAAATTATGTACCTGATAGCAACAAATAAATAGTAATAAAAAGTTCATAATGTAGAATAAGCACCAGATCAAATATTTACAAATACACTTGAATTTCGGAATTATTCAATAACTTATTCACTGAATTGTTCAAATTGATGTCCATTTCCCAAAACACACAATTGACACAGTTTCCCAATACGTCTTGATACAGTAAGAGTCACAAATATCTTGAAGAACTTCGTACAACAACAGAGGCAGTTTTCCAGGAATTACAAAGACATCCTTTAATGATTTTGAATGCATTAAGACGTATTGAGAAAGCGTGTGAGGGAAAATGGACATCAATTTGAACAATTCAATGAATAAGTTACTATTCAATTGTCTTAGTGAATATTAAATCAGGTGCTTATTCTAGAATATGAACCATTCATTTGTTGTTATCAGGTACCTAATTTTTGTGTCATCTTAATTAACTAGTGTTGGGATTCTTTTTGTCCTTTTTATGGAAGAATCAAATGAAATATCCCTTCAATTGGAACTTTTTTTAAATGAAAAATCCATAGCCCATAATTAAAATTCAATGTTTTAGTGATTTTGGAGCATTTTTGAAAATTTTATACCAATTCATCATATTTCATTTTGATGGGGAAAAAATAAGAAATTTAATGAGCTTATAAAATACAGGATTTTCCATTTAAAAAATCATAAGTTTGAGTCGTATCTCCGAAACCATACCCAGAAAAAAAAATTAGAGTGCGCCACTGAATTCTGCGCAAAATTCTGTATGGGATAAGATTCCAATTTGACATTTTCGCTGAGAAACTTCGTAGATATAGAGGGGGTCCAAAAAGTATAAATTTTCAAAATCGCCCTGTATCTCATAAACGCAAACAGTTATGCAAAATCTGATTAGGCCATCTTGAGTTTCATAGAAAAGTGGTACAGGACCGCGAAAACCACAACGTTCTATCTCGAAAGATAACTGAGATATCACGCAAAAGCATCGAAAACTGGACACACTGTACACCATACTTCATTATTACTTCACTGGTTTCATTAGCACTGGACTCTAGTGATCTCTTCAGCTTGTTCACTTGACTTCACTGAAACTTCAAGAACTTCTCTAGTTAGTTCCTCGAATCCACGAGTTCTCGCACTAAAAACTCCTGAAACTTCAAGAACTTCTCTTGTTTGTTCACCAGACTTCCTCGAATCCACGAGTTCTCGCACTAAAAACTCATCATAAATTTCCTCTTGTTTGTTTGCAGATGGCTCCATCTCGGCTTCAACTTGGTGGTGCAGCTGCTGGTCGGCTTGCCCTTGGAGATGGTCCACGGCTCCGGTAGGGTGTTCCTCATCTACATGGCGGGCGTTTTGGCCGGCTCGCTGGGCACCTCGGTGTTCGACGACGACGTGTACCTGGTGGGAGCGTCTGGAGGAGTTTACGCCCTATTGGCCGCTCATCTGGCCAACGTGCTGATCAACTACAACAGCATGCAGTGCGGCGTGTTGAGGTTGTTCGGCATCTTTGCTATCGGTGAGTAAATGGTACTTGAAGCACGACCGGGCGTGAAGAAGCACTTTACCGCCCGTAGACTACTTTACTACTCGGCGTATTTGTAACTCGTGATAGGCATTCAGGACGTTACAGTTCTCTTGATATTTCTGATATGGAAAATGATATGATCCAACGCAAAATAAGTTATTTGTGGTGCATGTTAATACACGCTACGGTCCATAAAAGCCTATTTTACGCTTTAGAGGTCCTCTTGAAACAGCCACCACTACAAATATATATTCAAGGCGAAGCCAGAGCAGTCATGAGTAGATTGTCAAGGGGTCAAACACCCATAAGCAACGCGCACGGTAAAGAATATATGAAGCTATATGAAAAGTCGGAAAGCGACCCCATCATTGGAATGCCAACGGATGGCATAATTCCAAAATATAGCTTTTGAAAAAACTTTCAAAATAAGTATAACGGACAGAGAGGCATGGAAGGAAGGACCTCCTATCAATACAGACATTGCTGTCTATACGGACGGCTCCAAAACTGAGGAAGGATTAGGAGGTGGTATTTATGGGGCCAAGCCCAAGACAAGAATCTCACTGAGCTTAGGTAAATACGCGACGGTGTTTCAGGCAGAGATTATTGCAATACATCATTGCGTGAAAGAACTGATGAGGCAAGAGTTTAAAGGCAAAACCATTGCAATCTATTCATATAGCCATGACATCGAATTGAGAAAGTTCAAGAAAAGTGATGCACTAGCTCAACTTATACTTGTAGGCAGTATGAATGACGCGAACGTGGAGTTGACAGCAACTTGTGATAACGCGAATGCTATTTGGGATAAACTTTTATCAGTTTATGAACAAAGTTCTGGACAACGTGTTGATAGATTAATGGAGCAATTTTTCAGTAGCCAAATGGATTCAACTGAAGATATAGCAACACACATAGCTCGTTTCCAAAGAAATATACGTCAGCTTTATATAAAAGTATATTTATAAATTTCCTCAAATAATTAAGAACCGATCAGAAAGACTCCGTGGTTAGATATATTTTAACAGATACAAACCAAATCTCAAGAATGGTGGACCAACTCGCCAGGAATGAGACAGGCAAAAAAGTTTATTAAAAACCCATCGCCAACATTCACAGAATATCTACTGAGCCAGAAACGAAGTTCAACTAAAATACTAGTGGGACTTCTCACAGGGCATTGTAGGCTCAACAAACACATGAGTACGATAGGTCTGACTGAAGAACTGCTGTGCAGGTTCTGTCAAGAAGAGGAAGAAACAGCAGTACACATACTTTGCCACAGTGAGGGCTTGTCAAGACTAAGGTTCCTTACGCTGGGTGAGGAAACACCAGAAGCCTAGAGATACACAGGGGATCTGAAAGCTAGCCTCTTGAGTCTCATAGAGAAGGCGGGGCTAGCCGAAGAACTCTAATCGATTTTGAGGGCAGACACAATAGATCTGAAGAGGTCGCGGTGTGGAGGCAGATAGCCCGAAGGCCCCATTCTAAATCTAATCTACGGTACTCCAGGGACGTAACTGTTTTTTAACGGTAAAATATTGAGGTTGGGAAAGAGAAGGAGTGTGTGATACTCTTATAATAAATTTCAGTACCTACTGTTTTAGCGAAATATGTCGGGTTTTCAAGAATTTCTTAGGAATCTCCTTGTCTATGGAGTTTTTTAAATGTCCCTTTTTTCGTTACAGCTTCCTGCGACGTGGGCTACGCCATCTACTCGCGCTACGCCGAAGAGGCGTTCGGCCTGCCCGTCTCGTACGTGGCCCACCTGACCGGCGCCTTGGCCGGCCTCACCATCGGCCTGCTCGTCCTCAAAAACTTCGAGCAAAAGTTGCACGAACAGCTGCTGTGGTGGGTGGCGCTAGGCGTGTACGCCGCCTGCACCATATTCGCCATCTTGTTCAACGTGATGAAGCCCACTGAAGAAGAGGCGGCCAGTTTGGGGGTGGACGGGGTAGACAGTCGGTCGGTGGTGTTCAACAAGTTCGGGGTGTGAAGGGTGGCAAGGTTTGGCGCCCGAGCAGGGATTCGGGCGGATGCGAAACACCGCACAAAGAGGAGACAGGGGACGTAGTTCGGTTCTCAATGCAGAGTTTTGGCGTTGTAGTTTACTGCCAAATTCAGCTCCGGGTATGAAGCTTGTTAGGTTGGAGACGGAGAACGAAGGTCTATTCTTGATGCAGCCTTGTGTCATTTTGTTTGGCGTGTCTTCGGTCCTTGTAGACTCTCTTGCTGTCAAATGCAGTTCGGGATATGAAGTTGGTAAGGTTGCAGCGTATGGCGCCTGAGCAGGGATTTGTGCGAAGGCGAAGCACCGCACAAAGATATGACGGAAAAGGATGGTCGGTTCTTAATGCAGCGTTTTGTCGTTTTGTTTGGCGTGTCTTTCCCTTTTGTAGACGCTAATTCACTGTCAAATGCAGTTATAATAGATGCTAACATATTTCGTATAGATGAAATTTCGATCAATCAAAATACTACCATCTCCCAGTAACTCTCATTTTTTATAGTAGAACTAAGAATGGAGAACAGATCTACAGGAGATTTCTTGGTTGAGACCTGACAGACTATTCTTAAGCTGCTTCGAATTCTGGCAATAGAGGCGCGAATGAAATATAAATTTGTGCGTGATATTAAAAATATAGGTTTTTCTGGATGTGTTTTTGTGCTTTCGAGGCAAGCTTGACTCTATCTGCAACCTAACTAGACAACAGTATTTCAACCATTTATTGGATAAATAATTCGGCGTCTCCATTCTCCGTTTCTTTGTGCAGTGTTTCGTATTTCCTGATTTGCGGTGGAGAACTACTCGAGATTCTCTCGTCCTTGTAAATATGTTGAATGATTGTTTAGAGATGGGCCTGTTGATCGTCCAAACAGCCCTAATTTATCTCAATTTTTTTTAGAGAACAACTCTTGAAAGGTATACATCTTTTTGAGTTTGAATTCAAAATTTCAGAAAGTGAGAAAAAATCTTTCCAAAACATTTCACTGTTATTTTTTGTCTCACATCTTTTAGAAAATTCAGATGTATACTGTATTCAACGAGTTTTTTCCTTAAATTTTTGTACTGATTTTTTGTTTCATAGTGTCACAGGATTCGGTATTATCTAATAAGGGCCTCTGTAGTATTTCAAAAGTTTTCACCTTATCCAGTAATTTGAGTCATTGTTCTGATCGAGATTCTGATATTCTTAATAAAATTCCTGCACAAAAATAGGTATTTCAACAGATGTTCATAATATGTTATCTCTGGAAAATAATTGAAAAAAAAATCAACTTGGCAGACACAATTCAGAGAATTGAATTTTCGATTATTCCACTTCGTGGGCGGGACTTTGGAACTGCTATAGTTGCTATAATGTGTAATATTTTCTTCTCTAGTTGATTATTTAAATATTTTCGTCAAGAAATTCTTGGAAAATTATAGATGATACTGAATCCTTTGGTTCTATGGATGTTAGTGAAGCTCAAAAGTCATGGTTGTTCACTTTTGTTGAAAGTTTTTTGTTTCTTGTGTATTCTGGCCTGAGGGCCAAGTTTTTCCCGAGCAAAATGTGTATATATCGTTTCTGTATATAATTTATTTATTTATTCATGCCAAAGACTGAAATGGAAACTTTAAGTTAGTTTTTTTGTCGAGAAATTGTTGTCAACGCATGCATTCGTTTAGACGTGAACGATTTTTTAACGAAGCGTCATTTAAGTTCCTATTTTCCACTCACAGCGATGTGATTACTTTTCCTTGTTATTCTCACAATGATTCCATATCTCTTGACAATGATTTCTCTCATTAGAAGCCGAGGGAACACCTACGTTATAGCAAAAAACTCGAAAAATTACCTTTAAAATTTACCGCGTTTTTACTGTTAGATTTTTTTTTCAGTGCGAGTAGGAAGTCTTGAAGTGTCACAAGGTTCGTTCATTTTTAAATTTATATAAATTTCTGACTATTATTATCTCGAAATTCCGGCTTTTATGTCGAAATGTCGACTGTTATCACAAAATTTCAACTAGAATTAAAAAACAAATAGAATCACAAATTTTGTTCTTTTTTCTCAAAATTTCCACTTTATACTCAAAATGTTGACTTTTACCTTGGAATTCTAACTTTTGCCTCAAAATTCCTAAAGATTCCTATTTTGCAAGATCAGTCAAGTTCTCTCATTCTTTTATATCAATAACTACCTAAAAACGCTTTGGCACATTTCAATGATATTTCCACTGTTGATATCTCAAAACGTTGATGACAGTCATTTTGAACGGTAATTAGATGATTCATTTGGAAAATTGTTGGAGTTAGTGAATTTTTTTTGGGGTTTTGCTATGATGTTGGGATAACCTCACCAATAAGTGATCAAAGAAAGTTCATATTCTTTGATAGTACCGTCATTCCTTCAAACTTCGGACTGACTTGAATTTGAAGAATTGAACAGTATTCGTCATCAAAACTGAAGTTGGATAAACTCTCATTTTAATGATATTTCTATACAAAGCAATGAGGGACCACTACACATGTATATTTGTCAAGTTTTGAAATTTAAAAAATTATTTGAAACCAGTCCAATTAGAAAAAAAACGTGTAGCGATTTCTCTGCCCTTTGATGAATCTGAAACTTTGCTTAAGTCAAAATTGATGAAATGCAGACGTAAGTGAAGTTTACGAAAATTTTCTGTGTGATATTATACACTAGTCATGAAGTTAAAATAAGCAATGCCTACCAAAGAAAGTGCTAGTTGATTATTAATATACACAGTGAATGAAAAAACATACACATTGCCTTATTAGTCGACAAATATCACTATAGGTATCACAAAGAAGTATTTTTTTACATTCAGCTGAACTCACGATAAATGTTTAGACTTATTGTAGTAGTTAGTTGAAAATTGTTTGGTTAGTTTCTCTTTATTCCAAGTTTTTCAAAGTGAATAATTGTCATTCTTTACTGTTGCCACGTAATATGTTCAATTTTAATGTGGAAAAAAATTAAAACACTACTTACTCTAATGTTTGTCTTTTAATTCAGACACCCCAAACATATTCCTATGTTAACTAGGAAGGCGATGAACGGCCTTAACGCGTTCAAAATCATAATTGCTAGATTGGCAACTATGAATTTGAATGAAGAATTCATATTTACGTTTCTTCATTTAAAAATATGTTGAAATCAGTGGCGTCTGCCTCCTCAGAGATTCTCCTCAAACTGATATTATCTATACTTTCTCATGGAAAGGACACCAAAATACATGGATTTTGATTTTATTTCCTGTCTAGGTAAATATTTTTGAATTGGCAACAGTGCTTGCCCACGCATCACTGCGCATCACACGTTAAAGTCTACAAATCACGCGTAAAATATTCAACTTGGCAACATCTATAGGAGGCTAGACTCCTTCACAATGCGCAATCCTAGCGCGCAATACAAATGCCCAAATAACACGTGTTTGTCGTGGTCGTGTCTCGTCGAGAATTGCGGGCAATCGCGAGTGCATTGTTTATGTTGATGTTAGGTTAATGGTTAGGAGCTCTATAAATTTCTGAAAAATGCGTGTTTTAAACGATTGCGATTTAGTGGAATACTTTTTGGTGAACCCATCCAGTGCTCTGTCTTATGAAGATGAATTGATTGTAAAAAACAAACGTCCGACACCGGATTTATACTTATGCCCTTGGGCTGCTCAGATTGATATGGTAGGCTGTGAGTTCTGAGGTTGATTGTAATGTAATTAATTTGACTCGATATTTTTGGGCGCCAGGCTTACGAAAGACAAAAGCCAATTAGATAGGGACACTTCCTAAAAACCTTGCTTGGATGAGAAGACAAAACAAATATACGAGAAAATCAATTCAACAATTTATTTCCTAAAAAAAAAATGTCGGATGAGGCTGGTGGCCAGAAGAATTTCAAATTACAATAGATTTAGTGAAGTGGCTGTAGGGCCTTGAATAGTATTGAAAATGATGTGAAAATGCTGAAAAGTGTTTGAAAAGCAAAGGGAAATGGAGCAAAATAACTTCAGAACATTCCACTTTAAGAGAGCAAGTGATACAATCTGATTCCAATCGAAGGTCTTGAGACTTGGATGGATTATACCTGGGTGGCCGGATGAAGTGTCAAAGAGGGTTTCCTTAGGGTATATTGGGAGTTCAACCTTCAGAGTCAGTTCAGCTTCCAGCTCTCGGTTCTGCTTCCAGAGCTACCCAGTACTGTGATAGGTACTTCTCATGATGGAAGTAGTAAGGTATAGCCTCCTACAGTTCTGACAGCTTGGTAGGGAATCTTCGGGTGTGTGAAAAATATCAGGCTCTTTTATATCTACGTCGGTATAGAGGCCGGATGATGACGGATTCATTGGATAAGGGGGGCATACTTGAAGTCAAACGTGCTCCATTATCTCTACGCCGGTAACCAGGCCGGATAAGCAACGGATTTGCTGGATAGGAGGAGTACATACGTTTGAATCTTATGAACACTGATGACTCGGCTTCAGGCCATTGTGATAGACAACCAGTGTCTTATGTGGCGAGTCGAGTGATGATATTATTACATAACCGAGTATCTATTCTTGAAAAAAATGAATTACCTGATCTGGAGAAATTGTTACCGAAAGGAGACAGAAATCCAATAAATCTAAAGAGAAGAAGAAGTGCATACGGAAATATACGAGGAATCAGAAAATTGTCGACAATGTGATTAAAGGGACCAAAGGAGGATATCCTTTGAACCGCTTCCCAGACAGCACTGGATATTCATAGAATAGTCTCTAAATATGCTAAAAAGGAGGAGTATATTCCGAATATTCATCGATTATTCCTAGAATATATACATGCCACTGGAACATCTAAAAGGAATATTCCAAAGTGAATAGTCGGACATGTTCAGGGAATATTCAGGTATGAATCTTCCAGGAATATTCCCAACTGAATATTCTCTGTTGTATATTCATGAAATATACCCAACTGAATATTCTGTGCGGTATATTCATGAAATATACCCAACTGAATATTCTGTGCGGTATATTCATGAAATATTCTCAACTGAATATTCGGTGGTGAATATTCATGAAATATTCCTTGAATATTCATTTGTTTCTCAACACATAAATACCATTCATTATTTCAGAGATATGAGTATCGAACATCAATTAGATGTAAGGGGATTTTGAAACAAAAAAGTGTTTATGATCCGATTTCGAACAATGCTCTCACAAGAACTTGATATGTATAACATTATTCAATTCGATTACTGGCCTAGTGGTCAAGGCGTTGTTCTGATAGTCTTGAGGTCACGAGTTCGATCCCTACTTGGGTCACTTTTTTTAATTTTAGAATATGTTTATTGGAATATTCCAGGGACATTCAATATAGAATATTCTTTTGGGTATATTCTATGATTATCTGAGGAATTCCCATTCGCATATTTAGAGAATATTCCACAGATATTCCGGAATATTCCAGATTATTTCTAGAATATTCCAATATTCCAAAAGGAATATGATAGGGAGATTCATGGAATATCTGGTGCTGTCTGGGTTAGTTAGCTTCATGTTCTGAATGTGAATCTTTTGGAAAGCAACAAGTTGATAAGTGAAATTTTAGAACTTTGAAAAATTAGGAAGGTATGTATAATGACATCTTCATGACATTTGGTACATGTGTTCTATGAATCCAGGTGCATTTTCTGATGTGCAAAATTTCCATTTTCAATACCAGTGGCGTCGTTATTATTGTTTATATTTAACTCAAAATTGAGCAACGGAGGCAACTGTACTAATTTCATACAATGCTATGAAAGGCCGTTCAATTCTATAATATAAGGAAGATCCTCTTGCTGATACTCGATAGGACTCTCCGTTTTCGAGTAAAAACGGAAAAACGAGAGATAACTGTAGTATGTAACACTTTGGAAACTTAGCATTGTTTCAGTCACATAGCAGACTGAATTTTGCCATCACGAAGTCATAAAAAAAATCTATGCAAATTTTCAACTTTCGATACCCTGTATCTCAAAAGTTATGACATTCACCACTTACCTTCATATAAAGTTTTACCCTTTAAAGGGGTTCAAGAATCGCCCCCTTGAAATATTAGCATGTCTTACCAGAACACCCTGTATACACTTTGACTAACAAGCAATACAAAAAATATTATTGACTATTCCACTTTTGTTCTGCGAGAACCAATCAGAATAGACCATTTTCACAGTATTATTCTGTATTAAAGTGATATTTTTTGTATGCCAAAAATTATCGGACTCTGTCTACCCACAGTAGATCTAAATAAAAAAGCCAGTCAGTAGGCGAGAGGTATAATACTTTACCAATGCAGAAGCCGAATTGACCCACATGTGACCAAACAACCTCGTTTTTCATCGATAAAATTTTTGACGTTTTAAACGTCAATTATGTTGGAAGCCAGAATGATGGATGCAGTATGCGCAACTCTCGCGAGGCGCTCGTTTATTGTCTGAATCATGAAATAGTCATAGGAATACAACTATTACTATTTTTTCCTGTAAATATTCGGCGATTGACATACTCCAGCTTGCTGCTTCGATTTCGCTCATCATGACATAGTTCCAAAAACTTCTCGCCTACGGCTCGGAAGTTTTGATAAACAAAGTCATTCACAAAATTATTAGGTAACAATAAGGTGTCATAACAATCGCCGAATATTTCCGTCAAAGTAGTATTACTTATTGTGGTATTATATATAAAAAAAAATCGAAATACCAACAACAAAGCAATTCTTCACCTCAACATAAAATATCACAGCTCAATGCATAAATTCGTTACCTCTCTGATGCTTCGACCAGAGTGACGTCATACGCGAAGTAGAACGATTTTGGAACGCCAAACTGATATAATATACCGTGTATCTACATATCTTGGTACATAGGTAAGTTTTGTCTCATATTTTGAATGAAAATTCAAGTGAATAAGACTATATAATCTAACATACCTATATATTATCTGCATAACAACAAACATAACAAGCTGTTTCAACTTCAGAAATAGCTTCTGAAAAATAATACAAAGACGTTCACCCACAGTGGTACCTTTCTTTTCGTTTCTGCAGGAAAACTGGATTCAAACAATTTGGAGCACTCCATATGGAGGGATTCCCTGAGTTTTTCGTTTTCTGTCACAATTGCTATTTGCGTTTCCAAGTCTCGCTTCACTGATCTTTCTCCGAAATTAGGTGATCCTATCACGGTCATGCTGGGAAAGGTGTTTTCTGGAGGATAATACCTGAAATAACAAAAAATAAATTAAAGAGGTGAATAATTTCAATATTTGAAAAAGTGAACAAGACAATTTGAAATATTTTTAAGAAATATACATTTTTTGTCAAATCATTCATTTGACTGACTTTCTGTAGATTCTCACCATGCCAGCTACCCGTAGATTCTCATCATGCCACCTTTTCATAGAATCCCATACTAAACCCAATTTTTATGATGCCCAACTTTTCACAGATTCTCACCATGCTCACTTTCCGTAGATTCTAACCACGCCCACAAAATACACAATTGGGTTGTACAGTCTAGTAGAATTTAAACTAAATATCTTATTTATTTTCCTCATTCAATGTAATCATAGTATTTGTTACAGTCATAGATTATTTAAAATCACCACATTTATTTTCTAGCTCTCGATGACGTAACATACCGATAGGCACTATTTGTGTTTTATGGCTCAAAGAAAATATTTCCACATTCTACATAGAAATGAGAATTCAAATCCACAGTAGAAGTGTACTGAAATATACACAATATATAAGTCATATCGTATATAATTGCAATCGCGGTATATGACGTCACACGCTGTCCCGTGTTTTTCATGTTATCATAGATCTAATTACACTTAGACCTATGATATTGTGTAATGGGCGTGTACACCTTAGTAGAACTTTTAACTCAAACCATGTTTATAATGATCCTTTCATACATAAATAATGATTGGCGACATAATTCGATCGACATAAATAATAGTACCTTCTGAAAACGGACCATCTTATGACGTAGAAACCTCATTTCGCCATATAGCTGAAAGAAAATACCAATCGCCCGACGGAGACTGAGGCAACTGATATATTAATTCTTTCAACTGTGGTCTCGCGCTAATTCACTCTGTCAGAAATCATGTTGTATCATTCATCTTTGTCTGGAATACTCTTGTGTCAGTATTAGGGTTTTGAGAGGTCCGAAAAATCAGGGATTTCAATAATTTTTTTTATAAAACATAGGGATCTCACAGCAAGAAATGGTGTCGGTGGTGAGCTAGTTTGGGTGAGTGCTATCGAATTATGGAATAAAATTTTTTTGTGATATAAGCCCATTAGATCTATGATGTTATGAAACATCGTGCATTCCAATAATGATTCAAAAAACGTACAGAGCTTTGAGGCGAAAACGGTTTGCAGCAGTGAACAAGTTTGGTTTAGTACTTCAAAATAATGAATTACAATTTTTCACTGAAATAGGCCCATTTTTCCGGATAGGGTATGGCGAGAATCTGTGAGAAGTGGGCATGGCGAGAATCTATGGTTAATAATTGGAAAACTCATTTGGGCATCCTCAGATTTTGGTATGATGATATTGACTTCTGAATTTTCCCCATAACCTGTCAACAGTGGCAACGCTGCGCTATTCGGCAATCTTCTTAATGGGGAATATCACTGAGGGATGAAATCCGAACATACCTCTTTCAAGCAATGAAACATGATTCAAATTTGAATTGAGGGAAATCTAATGATGAAACATGACTTACATTTGATCTACAATCAATATTATAAGTTAACGTTGACGGGAATCGAATCTATAGCGTTTTGAAATCAGCATATTCCATTCGATTATTTTAAAAAGCCAGCTATTAAGGTGGAACCGTGACCTGAACTGTAGCTATTCTCTCTGATTCGCGATAGAAAATAACACGTCACTCCACCTGACGGCAACTTGAACACTTCTGAGCGGTTTGTTTTGATGATGTGACCAATAAGCACAAACAAAAAACAAATGTGAACCAATGAAAACAAAGTAAACATGTCGCTTTGACAGCTTTCAACAACTCCGATAGGTGGCGTACAGTTATTTTCTATTGGGAATACCTAATACCTTGCCATTCTGCACTGTTGTCAGTTCAAGGACGATAGGCGTGTTGGAACTAATATACGTCACACCAGCCACACCAATGAATTGACAGCATTTCAAATGGCGCAGAAAGTGTGTGTTTTGAAATGAACATATTTTAATTTATTTTTATCGTGAGATTCAAGTATGGTGACGATCAATGAAAAGAGGACATGGTAAGAATCTTCGGAAGAAAGGCATAATAAAAATTTAGCATCGTTAAAACTAGGATTTACAAAAAGTGGGCATGGTGAAAATCCAAGGAAGGTAGGCATGGTTGAAGTTGAGTACTGCGACATTTGAACTTCCTGACAATTAGGCATTGCAAGATGCTCCTGCAGTGGGATGAACACATTAATGTCCGTACTTACCACAAACCTTTGACATGAAAAGTCCATCCAGATTGTAGATATTCTAATAATCTGATTCTATCCAGTTGGCCTTCATTTTCAGCATATTTTTCGAAATTCTTGGCTATCAGGGAGTAAGCATAAGGTATTCCCCCAGAAGGATTTGTTGATCCCCAGAAGCCATTTGCCTAGAAAGAGACAATGATGAGAAATTTGCATTGAAGTTGGTCAGTGGCTAGCTACTATATTATTATCAGGAAACATTTCCACATATTCCACTACATTATAGTCATAACTAACATCAACTAGTGTATTTCTTTCATATATGATATAGATGTTCTTCTTTTATCTTCCACTATCCACAAGTTGATTTTGTACATTCAGTAGTACAGGGTGTTGTTGTTGTTTTGGATACACAACAGTTAATGGAATTTTTATCAATCTGGACCTGGATACTTTTACCATAGATTAAAAAAAAAGTTTTTTTAATCTATGCTTTTACTGACTAAGTATCAAGTTTGTCACTTTGGTAGTGAAAGAACATGTGTACCTTTCAAATATCAGGAAAATATACTAGTTATTTCGATGATTATAACCTAGCAAAACAAATTGGCAAAGTCAATAAAACCTTTGATAGGTCGATTATACAGATAGTATTGAAAACATTAACGGTATATTCATCTACTACTGACTATTACTAACATAATTCCGTTCCTCCAACGAAACAAGGGCCGACTGAGATGTTTATCATCTCAGGGCCGACATATTGAAACAATGTTACAAAATATCTATCAGTGCTCAAAAAGAACGGATTTGTCTAGCGTGAAGTTGCGCTAATGTATGAAGATATTCATTCTCTAGTTTGTTTTTCTATTATTTAGTCATTAATTAGATTCTTATATTTTTAAAGTTCCAATTGAATATTTTTATTTTGAAACCAGAATTTATTGTGATTCATAGGGATAGGGATATTCGATCGATTCCTCAACTAATGAACAAATAAAGCAGTCCATCCTTTTTCATAATCAAATATTTTGAAAAACTGCTAGTCTGATTCAGGAACAATTTTCCGGTGTTATTGAATTTGGGAATGATATTCTGTACTTTTTCTTCTCAAGGTTCAAGATGCAAAATCTACAGGGAGAAAGATGAACCCCTCACCAGAAACAATATCACAAGATAACATTTTGGACCTAATAGCCTACCCTACTAGAATATTTTTTTGTATTCAGTCAATTTAATGTTAGGTTTTTCAGTGGAGCAAAATGTTCATCTATGAAATTGATACTAAAAATCAGTTATATGAGAGGTTATATTGACAAGGGTGAGGTGAGGGCAAAAAATGAAGTCAAGTCCATGGGCACCGCCCCTTGTTGGACAAAGGGAGGCGGCCGCCTCCCTCTGTAATCCAGCCTTTACAGTCTAGGCGATATTTTGGTACAAATAGTAGATTGTTTTATTAGGATCAAAGGTGACACTTTGTTTGACAAGCAAATTTTGCATTTGCGATCCGAATGAAACATGCTATTATTTCTGCAACCGAAACAATTAACTCGAATAAATATGTGAAGCAACCACCAATGCCGTGCCACATGTATGCAATGCAAAAAATAGTCCGTGTGGTGAGAATATTCTACCTGCATTATTCAATTTTCAAGGATGTTCGAATTGTAGTTTCAATAATAAATACAACCACAGAGTGACATATTTGTGTATGGACCAGGTGCTCTAATGGCAAATACCGCACAAGTGACAGTTATAGGAACAAGACGTGGAAAATGTGAGGTTAGTGAGCATATCAACTATAATAGCGATTATTTATTTCTCTCCCTACTCCACTGTGTTTGGTTTGATGGTCAAATGGAGGTATACAAAAAACTATTGCTGGCCGTGATTATTCAGAAACAAGTTATCCATCCCGAGAATAACAAATGAAATACAGATCAAGCAAGTATGTGAATCTTGAAGGCTTCCCCAAAACAAACATACTCAAATATAATGAGGTGTATTTATATATAGCATGGGTATGAAATGCCAACTTTGCCGAAATAGGAACACGAAAAAATGGATATAAAAATAAAGAAATACATTGAGAATTCACATTCTCCATGTAATGAAAATATTAATTTTTTCTGGGTTTATTCAACATAAAACAACTACTTTCCTGGCTATATGCCATGACGAATATTGAATTACATCTATTGAACACACATGATATCTCCTGATATCTTCTGAAGTAGAGATGAATGTCAATTTATTATACATCCAAAAACATAATAATGTTGTTTATTCTTGATGACCTCTTGTACATCCTTTTTAGTTCCTAGGAGCTCAAGTTCAACTTTAGTTCCTAGGAGCTAAAGTTCAAATGGGTTGCCTAGCAATATACCTATTTTTTTGTCAGTAATAGAATCGTCAATTCAAGAGCTAATTTTGGTATCAAAATGGACGACTTTGTGTCGGTTGCAGAAAAAAGATTGTTTGAATCATTTTTCTGTTACCAATATATACATGCAAACATTTTATGAACCACTAGTCAATACAGACATAGCCACCTCTGTTGTAATTAACCAGAATGTACTGTTCTGATCAGAGATTTGCAGGAATGGCACTGGAATCTAGTAGGTATTTATCAATATGTCTTGTCATGTGCTGTCATGGTCATGACTAAGTATTGAAAATAAGTGCAATAGGTCCATATTTCAGTTTCAGAGAACTGAAATGACTGAAATATATTGATATTGATGAAAAAAATGTAATATAACCCTTGGTATTAAAGAATATTAGCTTATACCCCTAGGCTAAAACCAGTGTGAACCTGGCAGCCAAGCCTGGGGATATAATCTTGGTTCCTGGGTAATAATGATATGTATAAATAACTATTGCTATTATAGGAAGTTTGCTTGAATTATACTTGCTTTATCAAAGAGTTTAAATTTTTGTTAACAGGTTTCTTATTCTAACAAATATGTTATCTTTAGTTAGTTCATTTTACTTATACCTCAATGGAATATGTATTCTAAAAAGCCATCTATTTGTCTTGCAGCCAGTCAAAAAGTTACTAATTTCAATTAAATGCCGAAAATTTTATAATAAAGAACAAGTATAATAATGAACACAAGGGTTTTCATTCCAAAAACAAATGAATAAAGAATGCTACCCATAGCTGGATATTTTCTCATCTTCATTGGTACCTTTGGATGAGCCATCAGAATATCACATTGGGCTTGGCATTCTCTAATCAAGGTATCCATATATTGGGTGGTCAGATTGAAGTATCCAGAGGCTATTTTCAATTTGCTACCTGCAGGGGCCTCTGCTAAAATTCTGTTGGTCACTTGGGCATCTTGGTCCACACCAAGTTGCCCCATTTGAATCAAGGGAAAAATCCATGTATCTGAAAAGGTAACTCACTGAATATTAGGTATTATTTCCCTTGTAATCAACTGACTAAAACTCACCAAACTCCCCTTCCTTTTGAATACTTTGGTTGTTTTGACTATCTAAGAAATACTGTCTGATTATATCACTGGACTGCTGAATGAATTCTCTTTTATTTCCATCAAAGGGAGAGCATGTCCAACCACTATTGAGCTCTGTGTTATCATTTTTGTCCAAATTCAAACTGAACATTTGTATCCTGTTCACTAGACCACAATAAAAATCACACAATTGTTTGTCCTTCACAATAAAATATCTATCCTGACGATTTGTGAAATAGTCATTGGATAAATTTGCTCCACTGATTATCAAAGTGTCATCAAAAATGTATAGTTTCATGTGTTGCAAACCAAGCAGTTCATTCCAGCGGTTTGGCATATATCTCTTTAATAAACCTCTCAGTGCTGGTGTATGGTACAAAGACACTCTGCAGTTTTTGTCTTCCTGTAGTAAAGGCAGTAACATTTTCCTAGAGTTGTTTTCATATCTGCTGCCTCTTGTGTAATCCAACAGAATATTGACATCCAGATTACTGCTCATAAAATGTGCATTATTTTTCATGGAATCTACAATTTTTCTCTCGAGACTTCCATTTCCCAAGTACAAGCTAACCAATGTTATTCTGTTTTTAGCATTCTTACATCCAGCTATAATGTGTTCATAGAAAACTTTGGGATCTGTTAGAATGGAGATGTTTTTAGCAGTTATTGGAAAACATGGTCCAGCACTGGAAAGCCAACCAAACGGAATGGTTTCTTTTTTTGTGAATGAGCAATGATATCCCTGGGTATCTAATGACACAGTTACATTATCTATAAAACCACTAAGGAGTCTTCGAATCATTTGAACAAAATATGTATTGTAGTCTGGAAGCCAATTTCAATTTCACTCACTACCCTCATTTCCATTCGTACATATTTTAATAAACAAACATGATATGATTTCCCTTAGATCATACAGGAAAAGAGATTTCCTTTCAAACAGTAAGGGGCCAAGGGGGTAAGGTTAAGTTTTAGGAAGGTTTTAGGTTAGGGACTGTACTCGTACACTCGTACTGTCAAACAACTCAAACATTTTCCACTGGAGAGGTCGGTTGCAATCACAGAACTTAAACATCTCATGCTACTTCTTCTCTTCTGCTTCTTCCAATTTTACTTTAATCAATTAGGTTATGTTGTTTGTTGTGATTTTGAAATTGTGTTTCTTGTTTCATTTTTCTAGGTAATAAAAGTGGTAAAGAAATTAAAGAATTCTCTCGTTCCGTAATCTCAGTAAGATTTCAAAGTATCACAAACAAAGGTAATACCTTTTTCAAATCTGTTATCATTCTTGAAAATTCGTGATAATATATATAACCAGTAGTGGGGAAATAATTATTGATATAATTAATTGCATTGAAGAATTTACATTATTTTTCCAATCCCACTGTCAACAGTTCATTGATGATTGTTGATGATATTTCAATATTTCAGCATTGAATAATTATGTCACATGGTCTAGCACAACTAATCAAAAATTATTTTGGAAATCCAGATATGATGAGAAATGACCTTTGATTCATGACTCTTAAATATTTGACATATTATTGACATTACAATTTTATGCAATATGATTAATTTTCTGAGTGCTCATTTACCCAACAGAGTTCTTCAAGGTTTAACTGCTGTTTATTTCAGAGGTACTGAATTGACTAGTTCTGAAGAATCCATAGTATTAGCTATGGCATATTTGATATTCAATAATTGATATTTCAGCATCTGCTGTGAGGAGGAACGGTTACAGAGGCTCTCATAGTGCACCAGTTACCATAAAATTTGATCAAATGAAGGTCACTATTCTACCTGCTCTTTCTGATAATTATATGTATTTGGTGAGTAGGTATGGGCTCATCTAGTGATTGAGAAATCAGTAGTAGAGTATCATTTTGTTACAGATTACAGATGAAAATACAAAACAAGCAGCCGTTGTGGATCCTGTAGAGCCAGACAAGGTATTGGAAGCTGTCAAAGCTGAAGGTGTGAACCTCACCAAAGTCCTTACTACTCATCATCACTGGTAGGTAACCTCACCTTGAACCCCAAATTGAAAATTCTCTACCTCAGTGATTATGTCTCAGGGATCATGCAGGGGGAAATGAAGAACTGGTTAAAAAATCATCAGGAGCCCTTCAGATTTTTGGAGGAGACAAGAGAATTGGTGCCCTAACCAATGAGGTGAAGCATGGTGATAAATTCTCCATTGGGGAAATAAATGTGGAATGTTTGTACACCCCCTGTCACACTTCTGGGCACATTTGCTACTACCTAACAGTACCTGGTCAAACACCTGCAGTATTTACAGGTACAAAAATGTTCAGTAGACATTTCAGGGGCCTCATTTCAGTGAATATTAAGGAGGGGGTTAAGGAACTCAGACTATATATTTTCATGTGGTGAAAAATGCACCCCAGACAAGATATATTTCTTGGGATTCAAGGTCAAATGCCTTCAAATTGAAAATAAGATTTCTGTCAGAGTAACTACAATATAATTATATCATAAATCATTCAGTTTCATGTTCTCAGTATGTTATAATTGATATAAAATTATCTGAAAATAACAATAATAAGAAGAGCAAGGGAAAAGTATTTCATATACTGCTTCTCCGCAGAGTATTTGGAAATTTCTTATATAGTTTAATTAAATGGAAATATCTTAATGAGGTTGAAGATTATGTCAACTACTGGATGAGTGGTGATAATAATTTTCATTAAGCATAGGCTACTGACCCATTTTTTCAATTTTTCAAAATAATTCAGAGATTCCCAAATTTACTCAAATTTTTCCATCTCATCTTATGTGTTATTTCCTTGATACTGTCAAATTGCTGGGCGCCAATTTTTATATTTTAGAAAAATTTCTGAGTGGAATCATTTTTTTGGTAGAAAGTTAGGGGGGAGGGGGGTCAATTGATCCCCATAAGAATAGAATAGAATACATTGATCTCATAATATCACATAATACAAAACTAGAACAGATAATTCAACAATTATTTTCAAAATATTCTTCAACCGAGTATGGACACATGTCAATGAGATAATTTTTAGTTTTCTCTTTAAATTTATGCACCAAGGCAATATCTTCAAAACATTGTGGAAGACTGTTGTATAGTTTAATTCCCATTACTCTAGGTGATTTCCCACAGATTTCTATTCGCTGGTAAGGTATGTGTCATGAGCATGAATATCACTATTTAGTATATAATCGTTTTTATTTCTATGAACTGATGTGATTAAATCCAATATATAAATGCCATAAATAGTTAAAATTCTCAAGTTGATAAAAACAGGTCAACAGGAATCTACAAATGAGATGTTTGAAATACATCTTAAAATTCTTTTCTGTGACATACAAACACTTCTAGCATGAGGAGAGCTTCCCCAAATACAAATCCCATAACTGATCTTAGACTGTATTTCACTAAAGTAAAGTGGACGAATGTGATTTATATTGAGTGTTTTTCTTAAATTTCTAATATGAAAACATTTGGAGTTCAACATCTTGGATAGATTTAAACAGTGTGCTTTAAAGGACAAATCTGAATCAAATAATACACCCAGAAATTTCACATTTTCTTTTCTTGTTATGTTTCAGTAGTTAACCAATATATCAAAGTTAGGGATACAAGTTTTTTGGTGAGGATGAAATGATATAAAATTCGTTTTAGTTGTATTAAACAACAAGGATTGATCACTAGACCAGGCAGAAAATTTCAATAAAGCATTCATAATTTTGGCCATTGAAATGTTTGAGTCTTTTTCACTAAACAAAAATGTTGAATCATCTGCATAAAGAGTGGTAAAAGACTCTGGTACAACAGGTACATCCTGGTACATCCCTAAATGGAGCCCATGAGACATTTTCATTGATCTTAATTTGTGTCTTTATAGGTGATACACTTTTCATAGCAGGATGTGGCAGATTCTTTGAAGGTACTGCTGAACAGATGTATTCAGCTTTGGTGGAAAAATTGGGAAATCTACCAGATAGTACAAGAGTTTTTTGTGGGCATGAATATACCCAGCAAAATTTGAAGTTTGCCAAACATGTTGAAAAAGAAAATTCTGATATCCTACAGAAAATTGAATGGGCTGAAGAAAAGAGAAGTAAAGGATTACCAACAGTAAGTAACTGATATATGATATGCCTAGTGTTATAATGAAATATACAGTGTGTCTCACTTTGAACAGAATGATGGGGTTCTTGTTTTCATATAGAAGTACAGTATCATCTGCATATATAGTATAATTACCTGACAATCAAATTTTAGAAATATTTTGAATATATAATAAATACAAGATGGGCCCTAGAACAGATCCCTGTGGAACACCTTTACTTATTGGAAATTTATTAGACTGACATATCATTAATTTTCAATTATTTTCAAGGTTCCATCTACAATTGGCGATGAGAAAAAAATTAACCCTTTCATGAGAGTTATGATGGGTACAGTGCAAAGCCACACCAATTGCAGTGATCCTATCACCACAATGCAGTCAATAAGAAAAGAGAAAGATAGTTTCAAGGCATCTTAAGATTACATATAATCAGAAGAGTACTGTATATTTTTTTTGTTCTCAATATATTATTTACAAAATTATGCACTAGTTTCACTGCCCAATTTGAATTCATACAAGTATGTTTCCATCAATTAAAACTTCTTTTCAAAGACATTTTGAATTGAACACTAATATTCTAGTGCCTAAAATAGGAGGCAAATATATTCCAAATAGAGGATCATCTTTCATATGAAAAAATTGCCATGATTTTAGTCAATGAAGAGTTAACCATACCTGCACCATATACATTCATTTTTTCATATTATACTCTTCCATTTCTGCAATATATTTTTCTTTTGATCTTTCATATCTATCCACATAAATCTTGAAAAAAAAACAATAAATGTCATGAATTAATATACTGCTAACTTAGAAATACTTACTTGTTTATCAGTTACTGATAATGTCTTCCATTTGAGGGCAAGCTGCCTAGTTAATTCCTGTTTAGAAGGCTCAACCTGACCAGGTTTCAACTCTGAGCTTATTTGCTCCATCAGAATTTGTCTCTGTTCTTGACAAAATTGAAAGAATGGGTTTGAAGGTCTCTTTGGAGCATTAGGATCTTTTTCTGATTTTACTGATTTTCTTTTTGTTGTTTTTCTTGAACCCTTTTTATCTGGTTTTTCCTCTAGAACAGTTTTTATGGTCCTGTGGAGGTTGTTCTTTGTGAAATTAGTAAACTTTTATACCTTTTACATTAGCTTCTTCCATTCTTTCCTCTTTAATTTTGTCTTTTGAAATGATTTGAGGTTTCATTTCATCTTCTTCATCCAGAATAATTTCTGCATTTGGTATCACAGTCCAATCTTCATCATAATTATTCAATAACCTTTGTTTGAAATATTTGACATCTTTGAGTCTGCGTTTTGTTATTTTATTGACCTCTTGTATCCTGAAGAATCAAAATAATAAAAACAATAGGGTGCTAATGTGATCTGGTTGAAATTATATGAATCTGAGTATCCATTATTGGTACTCATAATGAATAATTAGTATTAGAAAATGGTTCCTATGTATGGTAGTGGATTGTAAACATTTGAAATATGGTTTTGTATTGGAAATAATCTCACCTGAACACCAAAATTTCATTGGATCTTTGTAGCTGGGAACATTCTTCCAATAATAATTTGTATTTTTTATAATAAAGGTCATTTTCTTGATTATCCACATAAACTCCATCATTTTCAGATTCATCAGACATCATATTTGGAAACTTTTCAAATTTCAATAGAGAATTTTATATGTTTTCGAGAATATTAATTGAATAATGTTTTTATTCCTAATATTCCTATTGAATCTCATAAGATCAGATTGATGGATTATATCATAATTCATAACATTCAAAACATATCAATCAAAATCAAAATAAATCACAAACATAACCTTGAATTAGTTCAATTTCGGAAAAAATGGAGAAGAAGAAGATTTGACACGGAATACTGCTGATTTATGAATTCTATGAAAATGACATGACAAGTGAAAGTGAACTAAGAAGTAAAGAACTAAAAACTAAAGGAAAATAATGAAAATGTAAACAAATACACGTGTTTTTGAGTGTTCTGTTTTTGGGGTATTGAGTGTTGAATAAAATGGGAACCAAGGCAAAGCTAAAGGAATCGTAAGTACATGTAGTTCTGTTGATGAGTAGAGACATTCATAATTATGAGATAACTCAGATACGAAATTGAGGTTATGAAATAATGGGCGAAGAAAATCATTCATCTGTGAACTTATCATGTAATTCATGTAGTCTTCAGTTTGTAAGATTTGCTCTGTGGATTTGCTGCAATGAAAAAATACATGATACCTATATTCAAGAGAGTGATTTTTCATATTTTTATCAAGGTCCAGGATATTTTGTCTTGAGGGGTTCCTATATTAATTATATATTCAAATCCAGATCTTGTACCGTTGTTGAAGGTCGAGGAAGAATTTTCAATCCACTCAAATAACTTTTCCCAATGCACATGATGGAAATCTACAATTAGCTATTATCTGGGGTATCATACATTACTGACATTTTTTTATGTACAGGGTGGTTCGAAATTAGAGGTACATCAATCTCTAGTTTTTTGTATCGGAAAGGCTAGAGCATGTCATATATCAGACATTCTTTAATGTTCAGAACGTCGCATACTCATTTCATATATATAGGATGAGTAAAAAGATACAGTCCAAGTTTCTTGAAAAAATGCTTATTTTTTCAATGAATAACCTGTAATTGGAAAAAGAATCGGTTAATTTTCTTGAATTTTTGATATAATGTACGATTTGAGAGGTCCTTCCCGTACAGGAAAGTGCAATTTAAGAATAGTGATTGGCACGTATGCCGTTCAATAAACTACAATGTTTCCAAATGCTTTTGGGACGTATATAATATCGTTATTCCTCCTGTGTCTCAAATTGTTTTTAGCCAATGTATCAAATTCAGTTGAGGAATTGTTTTGAATATATTTGGAAAATATCATCTTCAGAGATGGACAAATATACACCGTGTCCCAGCTAAAATGTCCCCCCCTGTAAAAAATCAACCGCGCGATCGAATGACTTGAAATTTGGTCACCCAGTATATTTGATGATGCTCACTCGAATTATGCTATTGAATAAATCGTAGGTATACAGGGTCACACCGAAGTGCACCTCAACGAGACCTCAACTTTATTATTTGAATAGGGACACCCAGTATATTATTCCATCTTCAAGTAGAGTTCATTATTACAAATTCAACAATGCCGGGTTTGATGGGATTTTTTCAAACGACTACGAAGATATGGCAAAAAATAAAACGATTCAATAAAAAATTTATATGATTAGATTTCATCAATATAACACGATTGAAATCGAATGAAAAGAAAATAATTAAAATCTGATAACCACCAATTGTCTCGATGGTGATAGCAACTGGCCAGCTTGGTCGCCAGACCTCATCCCACTTGATTTTTATTTGTGGGGCTACTTGACAACAGGTTTATGAGTCGCCAATTGTGAATATGGAAGAAATGAAAGAGAGAATCATAAATTTATGCACACAAATTGATCACAACGTGGTATGTACATAGGGTCACAATGAACGTTATCAGATGAGCTAGGAAATGTTTGCAGCAGAATGAACGACATATTGGGCAGTTGAGGTATTAATTATTATTTTTTTCATTCGATTTCAATCGGGTCATAAAACAAAATCTAATCATATACATTTTTTATTGAATCGTTTGATTTTTTGCCATATCTTCGTAGTCGTTTGAAAAAATTCCATCAAACCCGGCATTGTTGAATTTGCAATAATGAACTCTACTTGAATATGGAATAATATACTGGGTGTCCCTATTCAAATATTAAAGTTGAGGTGCACTTCAGTGTGACCCTGTATACCTACGATTTATTCAATAGCATAATTCGAGTGAGCATCATCAAATATACTGGGTGTCCAAATTTCAAGTCATTCGATCGCGCGGTTGATTTTTTACAGGGGGGGACATTTTAGCTGGGACACGGTGTATATCCCATAGATGAAGAAACCCAAAGTCATCTCCACCACATTTATTTGACGATCAGAGATCGATCACATATATAGGTACATGTTTCGGGCTTATATGAGCCCATCATCAGCCGAATACAAGAATTTAGTTATAGAAAAACCAACAATGACATAGGATATAGATAGAATGAATACATCACATGAAAATGAAAAAGTTGAAAAATTTGATAATTTAAACAATAAAATGGCATACACCATGATCTAGAAAACAATGGTTCGGATGATGTAAGAACGAATAAACTGAAAACTTACTAGGTATAATGAAATTTTCAGTTTTTTATAAAAACATTAAAAAGTTTTATTTATTTACGAAACCCGACCCATTTCGTGAATAAATAAACCTTTTTAATGTTCGTATAAAAACAAAGAAATTCATTATACCCAGTAAGTTGTCAATTTATTCGTTCTTACATCATCTAAACGATTGGTTTCCGGATCTTGGTGCATACGTCTGTGTCATCTGCCATTTTATTGTCTAAATTATCGAATTTTTCAACTCTTTTATTTCCATGTATGTAATTATTCATTTTATCTATATCCTATGTCATCGTTGATTTTTCTAGAACTAAATTCTTGTATTCGGCTGATGATGGGCTTATATAAGCCCGAAACATGTACCTCTACGTGGTCGATCTCTGATCGTCAAATAAATGTTGTGGAGATGACTCTGGGTTCCTTCATCTATGAACAATACCACTCGACTTTTGAGTTACCATGGACTTCTTCCAAAGATCATATATCCCATTTCAAATAATAAACTGAGAGTCATCCATTTGATAGCGGACCAACCTCATACAATTTATATTCATGGAATAATTTTTACTATTTTTTCTTTGAAAAGTGGAGGAGGGAAAAGTGTATTAGGGAGCTAAGTGGAGTCCACTTTCTTCAAAAACTGGGGTCAACTAGATCACAAACAGAGGCTGAAAAATCCAGAATCCGTATTAGCGATTTTCTTATATCCGCGTACGCCACTGGAATTGGCGTCCTCTGGATTCTGGATTTTTCTGCCGCTGAATGTGATCTAGTAGGCATTGTTTTTTTTTAAAAAGTGGACACCGCTTTGAGCTTTGAATGAATGAATGAATGAATGAATGAATGAATGAATGAATGAATGAATGAATGAATGAATGAATGAATGAATGAATGGATGGATGGATGGATGGATGGATGGATGGATGGATGGATGGATGGATGGATGGATGGATGGATGGATGGATGGATGGATGGATGGATGGATGGATGGATGGATGGATGGATGGATGGATGGATGGATGGATGGATGGATGGATGGATGGATGGATGGATGGATGGATGGATGGATGGATGGATGGATGGATGGATGGATGGATGGATGGATGGATGGATGGATGGATGGATGGATGGATGGATGGATGGATGGATGGATGGATGGATGGATGGATGGATGGATGGATGGATGGATGGATGGATGGATGGATGGATGGATGGATGGATGGATGGATGGATGGATGGATGGATGGATGGATGGATGGATGGATGGATGGATGGATGGATGGATGGATGGATGGATGGATGGATGGATGGATGGATGGATGGATGGATGGATGGATGGATGGATGGATGGATGGATGGATGGATGGATGGATGGATGGATGGATGGATGGATGGATGGATGGATGGATGGATGGATGGATGGATGGATGGATGGATGGATGGATGGATGGATGGATGGATGGATGGATGGATGGATGGATGGATGGATGGATGGATGGATGGATGGATGGATGGATGGATGGATGGATGGATGGATGGATGGATGGATGGATGGATGGATGGATGGATGGATGGATGGATGGATGGATGGATGGATGGATGGATGGATGGATGGATGGATGGATGGATGGATGGATGGATGGATGGATGGATGGATGGATGGATGGATGGATGGATGGATGGATGGATGGATGGATGGATGGATGGATGGATGGATGGATGGATGGATGGATGGATGGATGGATGGATGGATGGATGGATGGATGGATGGATGGATGGATGGATGGATGGATGGATGGATGGATGGATGGATGGATGGATGGATGGATGGATGGATGGATGGATGAATGAATGAATGAATGAATGAATGAATGAATGAATGAATGAATGAATGAATGAATGAATGAATGAATGAATGATTTAATTAATTAATTAATCCATCCCTCCCTCCCTCCTTCCTTCTGGGTGCCCTGCTTTCAAATGGGTCACTTTGTGTATTCGAACTTAGCTTCGTAATTTCAGTCGTTGAAGCTGATGGTGAATTATTAGCTCCTTATGTCGATACCGAGGTCGAGACACCCTGTGTGAAAATTGAATTTGTTTCAGATTCGATGTAGAATCTAAACACGGAGCATTCTATACTGGCGGCAATATCGAGTGGTTCGAAGATATCATTTACTGTCAAAACAATGCGAGCATATCACTGTTGAATACAGAAAATGGCCTAGTAGAAAAGATAATTGGAGAAGAAAATTCTGACGATGCAGACTTCATCCAAACATTCATCACAGATGGAAATCGAATTGTTTCTTCGCACAAAAGTGGCCTGTTCAAAATGTGGAATCAGAACGGCGAAATCGAAAAGATGTGGAAATACATACACCAAGGCCCAGTTGCCAAGTTGGCTCTAATGGGAGACAACTTAGCAAGCGGTGGATCAGATGGAGTCGTGAGAATTTGGGATCTGCAGTTTCAGATATGTAAATCAGGCCTGAAGGGTTGCCAAGGCGTTACCAACGTTGTCGAATTCCACCCTTCAGATGACTATGTCTTCGCCTCCGGAGATGATGGAAAAATCAATTGTTTCGACCTTAGTAATGGAAAACTGTCAACCGTCCACCAAGCCCACTATAGTAAAGTTACTTCACTCGTATTTGCGCATGACAAGTCACATTTCATGAGTTGCGGCAGGGACAAAGTAGTGATTCTGTGGAAATTCGGGAACACTGTTCCTCTACGTACGGTACCACTCCACGAGGCTGTTGAAGTGATAGTCAGCTTACCGAACAAATTCAAACTCCCAGGTGGTTTCAAAGCAGAACCGGATGGTCTCTATGTAGCATCAGCTGGCGAAAAGGGATTGGTGAGAGTGTGGGATGTGAAGAAAGCTAGAGAGGTGTTTGCTCAGACAAGTTCACTGGTAACACCAGCTGTTGAAGGAGGAATAGCAGTGACGCACTTGAGGCTCGATGAGAAGACCAAATCGATAGCACTAGCAACTGTGGACCAGAATATCATCATACACCATTTGAAATCATTCGCTTGTTTGAAACAATTCATCGGATTTTCTGACGAAATTCTCGATATCACTTATGTAGGAAAGAATGAGTCTTACTTGGCAGTAGCTACAAACTCGAATGATATCAAACTTTATGACAACGCTTCAATGAACTGTGTTCTCTTGAAAGGCCATACTGATTTAGTTCTCTCACTCAGCACCAGTAAGACTAACCCAGATTTGATGTTGTCATCCGCCAAAGATAACACAGTGAGGTTATGGGTCTTGGAAGGTTCTACAATGAGTTGTATCGGAGTCGGTCTACGTCATACAGCTTCTGTTGGCTCAGTAGCTTTCAGTCAAACCAGCTCCGATTTCGGAGTTTCTGTGGGGCAAGACACATGCCTGAAAGTGTGGGAAATATCTGTGAAAAACGAGAAAAGTGAAACTTTAATTTGCTCACATACCACGATAGCCCACGAAAAAGAAATCAACTGCGTTGCGGTATCACCGAACGACAAGTTGATTGCGACAGCGTCACAGGACAAAACGGCCAAACTGTGGACTAACTCCCTGGAGTTAGTGGGAGCCTTGAGAGGCCACAAAAGAGGAGTGTGGTGCATAAGATTCTCCCCAGTCGATCAGGTGGCCGTGACTTCTTCAGCCGATTGCACCATCAAGCTGTGGTCTGTGGCAGATCTGAGCTGTCTCAAAACGTTGGAAGGCCACGATGCCAGCGTTCTGAGAGCTGAGTTCCTCTCTTCTGGTATGCAGATCATCAGCGCCGGAGCTGACGGTCTATTGAAGCTGTACTCCATCAAAACTTCCGAGTGTGTTTGTACTATGGAGCAGCACGATGCTAGAGTCTGGGCGCTGGCTGTCAAATCGGATGAGTCCAGGATAGTGACAGGTGGCAGTGATTCGGTGCTGATCAAATGGAAGGACGTTACTGAGGAGATGCGGGTTAAGAGAATCCAGGAAGCTGAAGAGTTGGCTTTGCAGGAACAGAAACTGAGCAACTATTTGCAGGACGAAAATTTCTTGAAAGCTTTGAAGCTAGCTCTGAAGCTAGATCGACCATTACAAGTGTTGAGGATCGTTCAGAACGTGATTAAAAAGAGCGATACTGGTTTGGCTGATACCATAAAGTCATTGCGAAATGATCAGAAAGAAGGTCTTTTGAAGTATGCTGTTAATTGGAATATGAATAGCAAATATTGTCATCCTGCCCAGCTGATAATAAATATTTTAATGGGTGAATTGCAAACAGGCGAATTCAGACCAATAGGATTGAGCTCAGCGATCGAAGCTGCTTTGCCGTATACGGAGAGGCATTTCAGGAGATTGACGAATTTGATGCAAGATATGCATTTTGTTAATTATACTATAAACTGTATGAAACCATATATTAAAAAAGTTAACTGATTTTGTGTCTATATATCTTTACCTCTTCAATTTCACTATTTTCAGGATTTTATTTTTCCGTCTTCGAGAAACCATTGTATAAGTATTTTTTCTTCTCTTCATGCAAAGATTTCGTTACCAAAACAGTTCGAAGAATCAGTTCTGGCTCTTCCACCATTATCTCAACATAGATAGCGCTAGGTTGCCGTTTTTACTTATGTTCGGCTATCTCCGAAATTCTGTATTGACCACAATGCTACTCTTTTGTTGTTATACAGGGTGTTTCATAATATATATGCGCAGGAATTCAGGATGTGATAGCTTATCGAAAAATATCAAAAAGGATGTTGAAATAAAAAAAAAATCGTTTTTGCGAATATCTCTGGAACCGTTCATTTCACAGAAAAAAGTATTTTCTACTCATGATAAGCTGTTTTGTCGGAATGTTTTTTCTTAATTCCTAATTGGTGAAGGTTTTGAAGGGGTAGTGGGTATTTTTCTCCCCAACTTCTACGCCACTGGAAAGAATACAGATTTGAACCTTTTCTCTACACAACAAAATGTACTTTGGTCGTAAGCTCAAAAGTTGACCATTTTCGGGAAAAATCAACTTTTATGTTGAAAAACATGGTCATTTCTTCCAATACGGCCCTGATATTTTGATGTCATATTCGAATATCACTTTACATTCTGATGTAGACGACATGCTACATAATGTGGTTTTCGATGCGTTTCGATCTTATTTTGGCCATCACAATACGGACCTGAATTTCTGATAATTATTTGGATTTACTCCAAAATGATATGAAGGAAGCCCTAGACCCTAATCGGCCTAATCCCTTTGACACTGGCGGAAGTTCAGGACTGTTGGTTCAAGCAGAATGGTGTATGGTTCTTTTCAAGATCTGAGAAACTGACCTGACCTGATATGGGATAATGACTGCGATAGAGCCATAAAAGTATTAGCCGTGACAGGGTCGTATTTATTTTGTTGTTGGCTCGTATTTATTTTGTTGTTGAGCACCACAGAGCAGTAATGTCGTGGATAATGCATCCTACCTTAATCTCCAGTTGAATAAAGTGCCATCAAGTTCCACCAGCAGAAAGAATAAGCAAATACCAGACTTTTTGTCTGAACGTGACCTAATTATATTTCTATGAGAGTTATAATGTTCAGCAATTATTGTTAGAGGAAATAAATACAGCCACATCATGTTCATAAAATGAACAACATGGGTAGATTTCGGAAGAAAAACAACTACTTTCCTGACTAATGCCACGCATTCCACTTTGAGCAGTGTGGCTATTTAGTATTTGAAATTACGCCAGTCGGACAACCAGCCACTCCCGTATGGAAATTTCAGTTTTGCAGTGTTTCTCTCCTTCTTTTCTACTCAGATGGCGTTGGTTTCATATTGTCTATTGAGGACGCCTCTGAGGAAATATAATGCCGACTTGATTTTTGTTTGGCTGGGTTACGCCCAGTAAACCAGAGTTTATCCCTGGGAAGTCGCGAATAATTAACAACAGGAATACAACTTCCAATGCGATGTTCAAAAAACTGTACCCAGTAATTCCTGGCGACTTTCGAATGTCCGCGACACTGAAGATCCCACGTAAATCCATGAAACGTTGCAACAAACCATTTTTTCGAAGTTCAACGGAATTTTAAAAAATATCCACTTTGTGAGTTCCTGTATCTTACTGATACTAACATTATTTTGCATTACACTTCCATGTTCAACGGAATTTCTTCGTATGACATTTTTGCGAGTTCACTCAAGGAATGCTGTGGGAAGTTACAGTGATAACATATCATTTCAAATTTATGTCTGCATTATAAAATTCCATAGAAATTCCAAATTGATATACTTTTCACTCTTGTGGTTTTTTTTGAGTACCAGCTTTGATCATTGATGCACTTTTAATTGTTGTAAAACATATATTTTTCATAGAAACAACACTCTCACAAAAACAAAATCAAAAATATCAACAGACATGTGATTTCAATAATTCATATCACTGATAGCATAGCATACATATGTTCCAAAAACAGTTTGCTTTCATTAGAGAGAGATTTTATTACACTGGACACTTGTATGAAAGTTCATCTGAGTAAAGGTTTCATTATAAATATCCTCATTTCACCAAGTAGGTAAATATAGATCCAGACTAATCACTTCTCTACAGATACATCATGTTCAGAACAGCATCTGGAACAAAAATGTTTTCCATGTATCAGTTTATCTATGACAATTATATAAAGTATGTCTACTTGAGTTGGCTACATATAAAGAGAAACTCTTTTATTATAATGTGGAGTTATATTTCATAAAACATGCTGGATGGGCTGACACCAAAAATGTGATCATAAGATATGTTTTTTTTTTTCAGTTTTATACGAGGTATATCAAAAAAACATCTATTTTATTCAAGAGGAAATAAGAACCATTTTTTTCTGCTTGTCAAGAAGACTGAAAAAATAAATTTGAATTCTTGGTTTTAGGCCTTGCAGAACTTCTTATGGAGAAATACTTTTTACCTTAGAATTGATAAGATCAAAAAGTTTTCCATTTGAATTGATCAGAAATTAAAAAAAAAAGTAAAACCTGCTTTTCATCATAGGTAGATGTGATTAGATATTTGAACCTAGACTCCAATTGCAGTAAACTTTTCTCAACTTTTCTCCATAATACTTTTCGATATTGTCAAAAATAAAGGTACTTTATTCTTGAACAAAATTGATAGTTTCAGACATACCTAGTATACAACTGGAAAAATCAGATATCTGATATTTGCATTGTCAGTTTTGGGCCATGCAGAACTTTTTATGAGGAATAATAACTTTTTTCTGAAAAATTGATAATAAAAAAGTGCCCCATATGTAGCCAACTCAAGTAGACACTCTGTATATATTATAGTTTCGAAATACCCCTCAGGGATGACTTTATTGAATTTACCTTCAAAATAATTGTTGGCCAATCTCTGAATTATTCCATAAATAGGTAGGTATGTTCTCATATCATGCATTGGAGTATCACCATATTGTTTCACTGAAAAAATAATATGTACTTATCTACTTATGTAGATGTTATAGGTAGTACCCAGTTAACACAAATTGATCTCAGAGATGTCAGTACACTTCACATTCATGATTGAGATCACATCCGCGATTCGATTTGTGAATCACGTCGACATCTCCAGATCCTCTATTCCGGACCCTTTTGGTCATTTTTCGCTTCACATTTAGATGCCGAATGGGACTCAAAAGTTAGCTGAATGTGACTCCAGATATCACGTTGAAATAATAAGACTCACATTGAGGTCACATTATAATCAGAATGTGAGGTTTAGAAGACCATCGACCATTTCGGAATGTGAGGTTCTTTTCGATTATTATACTGGTATCGTAGCGTCCCTGGAAGAATCATATTGTGCGTCTCAGAAATGCTACATACACATTGATTTTTGATGTCTTAAGTGAAATCACATCTAGATTGATGAAGGTATTCAATGAGAGAACTAATCGGTCTCGAATCTTTGTCAAATAGATCAATCAAGGGTTTCACAAGGCAACTCGATTTTATTGAAAATTAGTCTCATTACACATCAGAATAGGTAAGTACGTACATGTTATGTTGAGCAAAACTACCTAGATATAACAAATGATTGAAATTAGAAAAACAGCGCAGGCCTAGACTTTTTCGAATAATTATACAGGGTATATATCTCCATGAGTTAACGCGATGAATATGGAGAACTGAAAGTAACACAAGAGAATCCAATATTTGCTCCTCATCTCTCCTTCCGTTGTAGCATGGTAACCAATCCCTGCTCAGAATTTCAAATTGTTCCAAGGTTGTCCAGATGACTTTTGTGATTTGACATCTGAAAATGAATATAGAAACAATCAATTGATTTCATTTTGCCCATTTCCTGTTCAGAATATCTTATAGAGAGTGAGTAGAGAACCATATAATGAGAGTATTGAAAAATGTTCAAATCACTTCCATATCTACGTGGAGTCGTGTAAGATTGAAATTATTTATGAGAAGATGAAATCACACTGCATACCTACTGTTCTATACCGGGTGACAAAGAAGATAGAGAATAGCTGCGGCGCATTTTTTCCTTCCATTCATAATATTTTGCAATAATTTTGTTCTTAATCAGACTTTCCCAATATACAATCAGAATATGCATGTTCACTTATACCCTGATCCCAAAATGATATATTCCAAGGTATCATTGTAAGTATCATCATATAGTCTAGAAATGGCGACGTGGTGTCGTCTACCCTGTCTTCATTGTCAACCAGTATATAGGTATATTATTGTATCAAGTTATGAACGTTGTAGTTACTTACCCTGTAACTTAGATGAGAAACACACAGTATCTTTAATCACAATCATGATTTTCGATTAGAAAGAGGATGCTTATTCAGTCTAAGCAATAACGCCAAACACGAACTGCATACCAACACCGAATGAACTAATGCACTGAAACAACGAAATGGACGAGACAAAAGCATGCCTTCGCTAAAGAATTCACAGACACGTGTACATCAGTCAGACCGACACTGACCGAGTGTGTACGAAACTTTACATGAGTCACATTGTGCGCTACATTCATGAGTATGCGAGTACACTGATATTTTCAAGTATTGTTCGATATTACTTTCATAAATGAATTTCCTTGAGATGTGAGACAGATTCACATATTGAAGCATATTTTCGTTTCTTCATTCTGCACAATGTGAATCAGTTTGTCAATTCAGATACATCAAATTATGACTCTCAACGACTGAAATTTCAGATTCTGAAATTATAGTCGTTGTGAAGTGAAGGGGCCTCATAAATATCATATCCATATTGGTCTCAGATCCAACAGAATGTGATGAAATTTGCGAACTATCTGTCACACAAGGAATTCCTTGTAGATATCAGCGATGCAATATTGTGATTCGCTTTTGTGACATCAACTGCCATGAATGCGACATCTCATAGATGTTTGTGTTAACTG